TAACTTTTTCCCTTAGATTGGACTGTAGTTTTTGGCCTCGCCTATGTCTCATTAAGTTCCAAAAAGAGTTGGAAACTTGCTCGTACGCATCGCGCGACAACACTACCACTCAGGAATGCAACTTAGTTTATCCTGTATAAAAAAGGCCATTTTTAGATCATGCGTAAGAGGACCTCATTGGCTTCACGAGGCGTCTTTTTCTTATCTCATTTGATTGAATTTTTTAAGTTCATTTATTGATATATATGTATCGTTAAAATGACAAATTATTAAAATTACTATTAATCTTATATTTAACAATTAAAACAAAATCGGCACAATGGGCCTAGTTATCAATAGATTTCATTCGTTTCTGTATTGTTTATTGTACATATACTCTTGGATTAGTCAGCTTTCATATCTGCTGATTTTCGATAGGTTACGATTGTGTATATATATATAGGCTTCTATAAAGAGAGAGAGAGAGAGATAAATTAGCGCAATCATAACATCTCTCTGAGATTACAAATTAGGCGGGGAATCTTTGGTCAAGTTCGTCATTCTGGCTTACACATTATCATTGTTAAAAAATATTGACATTATTTTGCTACTTCCTTGATAAACGTGTTGATCTCTCATGACATTTTGTGGTTCGAACCCCATATACTATTTCATTTTGCATAATGAATATTTAAATTCTCAATAAATCATTCTGTCTTCGATGACGATAATGTCTCATACTTCTATACTTTCTTTTAATGAAGGCCGCCTCGATGGTACTAGATTTTTTGGCCTCAGTTCATCTTCGTCATCTCAGCAGCCCAGCTCATCAGCTCCAGCAGTAACTGCTGCAAGTTGTCTGAAAGATTTGTTCACACTACTGCGGAGTACTGCTGCTGGGCTTTCTTACTTCTCTCCAGATAATAGGCGCAATATTGAAAGCGCTTCCACCTCGGCTGCTGAGAGTGGGACTCTCAGTGGTGCAGCCGCCTCTACATCTCGTTTGTCTGCTGCTACTTTTACTAACTATGGCACTCGCTCGAATAGACGGACTGATATTAGCTCTGGAACTGGAAGAGGCCGACCAGCAGGAAGTCATGTTGTCCGCGAAGTTATTGATCTAGATGACTTTGAGAATAGTCTTGGTTTGGCGGATCTTGAGCGAGTGGCAGCACTCTCACTAGTCACTTCTAGATTAACTGGGCATGGATTATATACAGACAATGATGCAATTGTGAGTTGTCTTCTTTGTTCGATATTTTGGCTCCATTAATTTTAGATTTACTATATTTACCTCTTTTGTTAACACTTAGGGTTGCTTGCTTTTTCGTCTAAGCTTATATCGCACATACATGATTGAACCTTAATGCTGAGTATGTATTAACTTGCACCGGCAACAATGATATGAGATATATAGGAGGATTCCTTATAGTCGGGTTGCTTGTTTTGAACAGACACAAAGTCAATATTTAGTTCAAAGATATTCTGGGCATATATATATATAGCTTATATATATTCGTCACTATATACTCATCTCCACTCATATTTTTTCTAACTTTCTATATTATCTAATTATTCTCACTTATTCCATGATTTCAGTCATTTACGTGTTTATAAATTTGTATTTCTACTGGGTTTATTTACCTTACACAATTATGCATATACATTAACTATATTTCTTGTTATTGAATTTTTCTCATTTTTGTTGCACTGCTATTTTATTTGTTTTACTATATAAACTCCACCACGTTCATTAGTTTATAGATTATTAGCAAATATTTGATTTTTTTTATTTACTTTTTCAGGATTTTATGGATGAAGATAGTGAGGACAGTAGCCTCACACCTCTGCCTTCACTCATAAAAGAAAGCTTACTCGGCTCTATTGAAGACCTTCCATCTACTGAGGAAGGTTTGCGAGTTGAGGCGGATCCTGGGCATTTAGATGGTCATGCTGTTGAAGAAGCGGAAGATGATGAAGATGAGGGTACTAATGGGGATGAGGATGAGGAATATGGTGAAATTGATTTGGAATTATTGCAAGGCCAAGTAAATCAAGAGGAAGAGAGTAGGGTTTATGATTCTTATGAATCAGAAGAGGAGGGTAATTATGAAAATGATGAAGAGGAAGAAGAATCTTTTCATAATCCAAGCGAAAATGAATCGTCTGCGGCCATTGATACACTTATGGGTCTTGGACATTATAAAATCAAAGAAGAAGCCTTCGGGTTAAGATTAGCTGCTAAAAATCGAGGTGTTTATGAGGAAACAAGTGAGCAACAAGAAAGAGAGCATGAAAATGTAGAAGACGAATTTAGAACTAAAGGTTTTGTATGCAATATAAAAAAAGATAATATTCCTGAGTTTGAAGATGTGGCTGACTATTTTCGTTCTGATGCATTTGCGGAAGCTGATAATGACGAAGAAGATTATGATATTATCAGTATCATAAATGGTTCTTGTGGTGGCTTTCCTACCTCCGACTTTATTGAGCCTATTTTGGATCGTGACGAATATTCGACCCGACTTTCTTCCAGCTTAGGCGCCGACAATGTCTCAACGATTTCTGATAGCTATTCTCCTTGCCAGCAACCCGAGGTTAGCAAATCACCCTCAGATAATCTGCAACATAAGGCTGATTCGGGCGAAGTTTTGACGACGTCATCCAGACTGCTTCCGGCTAAACAATCATCAATTCAATTTTGCAGGCAAATAATGGATGTAAGACCTGGGGAGAATATCACTCCTCAACCAGATGAGGTACAGTCTGTGGCCAAACTAGAGACCAAAGAGGAACAGACACATATTGCTACTTTATGTCATGAGACGGATGGAATAAATGTGACACAATTTGGCAGTCTTGATAGCTTGGAGGTTAAGTTTGAAAGTCTTTTTTTGCCGGGCGACGAAGAGATTAGCGATTCTTCCGATGCATCCTCCAGCCGTCATTTACTACGACTTTTCTTGAACTTGGTCGATAATTATTTAAACGACTCACCTACGGTCATCTCGCGATCGAATCGATCTACCGGAACTACTATGAACCTGACATCTAAGGACACTGAGGTGCCGTCGGGGAAACCAGGAGTACTTTGTAAATTGGTTCGCCAATGGAAAAGAGAATCGGCTCATACAAAACTCGTTTTTAGCCAAAATGAGAGGCCAGTAGCAATAACATCTAGTGAAACAGTCACATCATTTCCTTCAATGACTACTTCGGTGACAACATTTACTTTTAATGATCCTCTAGTTGTAGTATCTACTGAAACGGGATCTGGTCTTGGTCTTAGTCGGTCTAGTCGACGTCTCCGTTCCCACCAACTTCAGTTCTGGTCCCCTCGTAGATCTTCTGTTCAGGATCACGACAATCAACAATCCAGCCAACAGCAGAATCGAGATCAGCAGGCCGTTTTGCAACGAGATATACCACCGACTTCATCCGGATCTCATCAGGTGAAAACAGAAGTTTCAGGAATACAACTCCAAGAGGACAGTACTTGTGCAAGAATACCGGAACGTTCTAATTATTTGCAGTTGAGTTCAGGTCAGGTGCCGTTTACGGCCATGGAGCAATCTGCGCCGGGTAGACATTTAATAACATTTCAAAGTGTTACTATTCGTTATATTTTGTGTTGTCGAGCATGATCTTAGAATAATCTTATATTTGTTCACTTACAAATACGTATCAGAGGATATTCACTCGTAAAAAAATATGAATAACGCTTCAGTTAATAGGGGGGCTATAGAGTAAACAAACTAAACGAAGTGGGTTGACCTCGTTGTCGCAACTTGGTCTTGTTGTCAGAGTGACTTAGTAGAACGGACGTAGTCCGAAGTCGTCTGCCAGCATCAGACAATGGACGTGCTACATTCTCAAATGTTTTGCCGGCATCGTAGTTGGCATCATCAGTAAGTTTTGCCATTCTCCCTACCAAGCTACGAACTCGTCAAATAGACAAGGGAAGTCAATCCCTAAACAAACGTTCTACCGAAAACGGTTACATTATCACTCACCTTTCTGTCCTGGCCTATTTATCTACTCTTTATCCTCTTATCCCACTGCCGCTCTATCACAACTTCTCACTTCTTTACATTCCACTCGTCAAAATGTGTACCCTTTTGTGGCAAATATAGTGTGACCTCATCACACCTGCTATTCACCCCGACCCCTTCTCTTTCGATCGGTTGATCCGACTCGGGCCTCCAATCCGGATCCTTTAATTGTCTCGTAGATTCGTTCCTTATCTTTCTGGTTGACCGATTTCACTCGGGTCCAGTCCCTGTGT